GTGTGTGTGTGTGTGTGTGTGAGGGGGGGACATAGCATGATAATGCTTATGAAATGTTCTTTTCACCAAGGAAAAATGATTTATTAATGATCAACCCAATTTCTTGTAGATAACACTAATTGGGAAGGCCTACCATTTATTTGTATTTGAATTTGGAATTTTTTTTTTTAAATATTTATATTCTGAGGGAAATTTTCATTTATCAGCTTGCATACCCAACATTTCTGTAACTTTGATCATGAAGTAATAGAAGCCTAAATATGTGTAATTCATTTAAATGCTTTTCTTTGGAAATTCAGGTTCTGCCTGCTAAGTTAGGAAATCAGAAGTAAGGAATAAATTGAAATTTCAATCAAGTAAAGATTTTGCTATATACACAAGACAAAATAAATTATTACCCTTCCCTGCTGAAATAGCTTCTCTATCTCTTTTCAGTGCTTGTCTTTCATCCTGGATAAAAAGCCTTTCGAGCATCACTCTTTCAGGGTTAGAACATATTCTCTGTCAAAGTAATCACATTAGTCAGACTAGCATATAGTGGGATATATATATACATAATGAACTCAACTGGCTTTGTTTAGGGCCAATATGATAATAAAATAATGCCCTATCACAGAAATTATTAAAACTTTCAAAACATTTATGTCCAAATTAAAACAAAACATATTACCTTAGAATGTTTCTTCATCTCTTAATAGATTGAGACTGCATAATTTGTTTTGTCAAAATAACCTACCAGGTAATGAAAAAGAGACAACCCCAAATCTGAACGTCACCAGAAGGTGAAACTTCCTTCTTCATGAGTAGATGGTAGGGGGGAGCTGGTTGAAGTGTTTAAAAATGACACTGTAGATAATGGTTTACCCCTTAAAAAAGGAAGACTCACCTTCTTAAAAGTGCTTGGGTTTAGGGTTTTCTTGTTTTTCATTACCTTATTTTTTCCTGATTGTCAGAATTTAAAATAAAATATATATACATATAACTTACCTTTTTCCCAGTTGTCAAATAGAAAGGCTTTTAGTTACATTTCTTAACAGTATAAATATATACTATGTTGCTGTTGGGCTTAGGATTCTTCTACAGTAAGTGTTTGTAAGTTGTTAGTGATAAATTCAATGATGAATAAAAAGCATGCACTTCACTTGTTTTCAAAATAATATATATATATTCAGAACAAGTAATGTATGTACAGTAAATTCTTCAACACTATAGATATTATGACATATCATAAATACTATATATGTAGTTCTCTCCTTCTCATCAAATATCCACTTAGGCTTATTCAATTACTTTAGAATTTCAGTTGACAAGCTGACCTATCTTCTCTATTTCTATCGCACTAGTATTCTCTGTGGTTCACTTACAACTGTGGCACCAGTTACCTTAATTGTTTGGTCTACTTTCTTTTGAAGTTCCTTTTGTCAAAGTGCACTCAGGCTGATTCAATTTCTTTAGAACTACGCTTTGATGGAATAAAAATTATTTTTCTTATCTTCTTTTCTAATGTTAGTTTTACTCTAACATATTAAATGTTAAGTCTATGTCAATCATTAGGCCTATCACTTCTACGGTAGTTAACTTCACACCAACTTTATTCTCTTTTGCTATTATCTATCTACTGCTTCCCGCTCATCTCATGCTATTTATATCTTTATTACCTTATCATTTGTCTGCCTTCTATATTCTTAACATCAATATATTGCATGTGACAATCAATATTCTTAACATCAATAAATTATTAACAAAACTTCTTACAATCATCTGCTTTTAACTCTTATTATAACAAAAACTAAACAATAGTAAAATATTCACTCACAAAAATAAATTAATCACTAATATCTGAACCAAACAGTCTTTTATATCATGACAGTGATCCTATTTCCTTTTTAAAATTATAACAGAATAGCTGGCTTGGTTTGTTTAAATGTAAGTTAGAGATTATATCAAAGTATATTTGGCTACAAGTTTCACACTAAGTAACTTGAGAATCTCAGATAAAATAATCTTAAATGAGCCTACATTAAATTAAACATAAGATTTTTTTAAAAGCTGGCAATAAATGATAGTTTTATGCAAGATAATTTTCAATGGTTTTGGTTTATGGTATTTAACAATACTGCTCATAATATACTCTGTTTTTGAGTGGAATTTCTTCAATTGTAAAAACAATTTAGATAAATAAACAAAAAGAGAAAGAAATTTAGTAACGACGTTTATGAAATTTAAATAAACCTCTGATTAAATAAAATTAAAAACTATTTTTATGTAAGTGTGGCATATCTGAACCAACAGCCAGTACATTACTTATATATTGTATGCGAGTATATTGAGATACATATGTTTGTGTGTATATAATTATCAAACTTAAACATTTCTAGTAAGCTTACCATGCTATCTTTCATAAGCAGGTAACAATATTTGTTGACCATCTTTCTGCTTTTTTCAAGAAGTTGTTGTGAGACTCTTTCAAACATGATGTCTACTAAACAATTAAAAAAATAGTGTTATAGTGGGTAAAAGGTTGTAAGTGAAAAGAAAGTCTTTTAAAAATATACTGCAAAACTGTTAAAAGTAATATAATTTTTTACACAAAGAAACAAAATATCTTCTTGAGACTGAATAAAACTTTCTAGAATTATTCTGGCAAAGTGGGAAAAAAATTAACCGATAAGGTTCAAAATATACAGTTATAAAGCTGCCAACTTAAAACCTCAATCACGCTATTCTATTATTTCTGTATTACCACTATTAACCTTCCTATATGACAACCTTGAATTTAAAGCTAATAAGTTGGCAGTATGTATTAGAATATGGTAAGAGAGAGAGAATTAAAACCTCAATCACGCTATTCTATTATTTCTGTATTACCACTATTAACCTTCCTATATGACAACCTTGAATTTAAAGATATTAATTCTCTCTCTCTTATCATATTCTAATACATACCTCTTTGAATCTTTCTAATGCATAAAATACCCAATCATTTAAAAGAAAATGAAATATACATAAAAGTTAATACTAACAGCAGCAGCTGATTAACAAAATCTCATGCATAACAACCACTTAAATTTGTAACCATTATTAGTGTGATTAATTATAGAATATTAGTTCTTAAATATTATGAACTGGTTTGAAATACCTGATTAATAGACACCAATACACTAAGTTCAAATACACTTCTTTCAGTACTGGAAAGGTCCTTTGAGATTTAAAATATAATTTACTTCTTCATGGGAAAAGAATTATTACTATAAGTTACCTTTTTGTAGCTCCTCCTTTCCTGGAACTTTTGTATCATACACATGGTAACACAGAAGCCTTTTACATAAATCTTCCCCACAGCTGAATGCTCTCTTAATGTCTGGCTTTGTCACTGACTCATGGTCACGTGCCAGCTGTTGTTGAAACCTGAAAATTTTAACACACTAGTAAGAACCTCATCTTATAAATAAGCACATAATTTCTTATAATAACCTGTAACAGATTATACTATTATCCAGCTCACTTCCTGATTACAAATCTTGTTAATTTTAAAATGGCTGTAAATACCAAACTAAAAAGGTACAGGTGTGTTTTATTTTGATGTCTTTTAACTAATTCCTTCCTGGTTAATATGAGCTTACTTATTTTTTCTAGTATATAAAACCTGTAGGTTTATATATCCTAAATACAGATCAAATATTTAGTCTGAAGTATGCAGCTCCTCACCAATGCTCAATTTTCCACTTCATATTTTTTGGTTTGTTTAATATTAATTGTCTGATGTAAAAATAACATCAGAAGTTGCAGATTCTCTTAGTATTTCTAAAGAAAATTATACTTGTTTCTTGCTTGTAACCTTCTATCATTCACAATTGGTAAGGCTAATTTTATAACTCCATATTTTATGTTCCACTCTACTAAAAAAATCATAAGCATTATGGTTTTTCTTTCTATTTAACCAAATAACTTTTTAATATGCACCAAAAATTCAAAATACAGCTAGTAGAACCCAAATAAATTTTTTCTTTTATTGTGAATACACTTGACAACACTGTAACAACTAGTTCCAACGTAAATGTTTTGTCAGGTACTTATAAGCCTATTTACTATCAGATATGATCTTAAATACCTCCTGTAACTTTGTGCTATATTTCATTACTACAGGACAGATGCTCATTGCACAGTTGAAAAATTATTTAAAAAATTGTCATCTTTTTTTTATAAAAATTTGATTACAATCAAAATAACATACAACCAATTAAAACAAACTGCCCCTATTTGACACTGCTGCTACAAAAAGGCTTTTTTTTTAACCCTCTCAAGATCAAGAAGGGTGTCTCATATCTTCCAACTTTTATATTCCTTCCTCTCCTTTACTTTCTTTAAAGAGTATGATTACTTGCTCAGTCAAATATTAAATATTTAATTTTGTACGTTAAAAGTAACTTTCTTAGATGCACATGTCTTGTGTTTGAAAATAATATCTTAAAAACAGTTTCAAAAAACTGCTATGCCTTTGTGACACAAACATATCTTGAAAAAAATTCCTTTTGTTACTAACTTCAGAAAGACAAGTTTTAAGCTATTAATATTTTTCCTTGAGTAAAAGCCATAATTATTTTCACCATTTAAAAACACATTTTAGAACTACTGTTAAGCCATACAAAACTGTACCACTGAAAATTAAAAAAAAAAAAAAAGACATCACACAAATTCCTGTAATACATGTCTGAAAATGACCTGCCATACAGCACCATGTTGAATAAAATGTTAAATTATAAAACTAGATGAAATGGTATAAAACTTACAGGGTTGTTCTGGAAACAGTGGGCAGAGATGGTCTTGGTATAGTCTAAAAAAATAGTACATATAAACACGCCATATCACAAATGTTTTACAAAAATTATTAGAATATTGTAAAAATGTCTTTGTGGATCTTTTAAAAATTTTTAGAGATCAAAGCCTTTGAAACAAATTTTCAACATCAATATCTTTATTTGAATTTGTATTACATGATGTTTCTCAGTACACCAGATATTTACAAATGTAATTTTTTACCATTTTGAAACAGCGACATGTGTTTGTAAAATTCTTGTTCTCATTTAGATGTGCTTACATACTTAGTATTACATACAATAATTACTTTATAATTATTTCCTGTATGTAACTTCTCATTTTGAAAGGTAATTGGTAAAAGATTCTAAATAAAAACTGTATTATCTACCTCAAAAATATAATGATAAAGCAGCCATGTTTTAGCTGATAAAATACTGTAGAGAGTTTGAAGTACTTCTCTGTTTTACTGAAACAGATTTTTAATAATCCCCCCCCCCTTTTTTTCATTTACTATCAATCATAAATGAATTTATTTTTCCAAAAGTTTTTGAGGCTAAAATATAATAAAAAAATCAAGATACATAAAAAACTTGAAGTATTCTTCCATTATGACAATTTCACTGAGATGTTGATAATGTAACTGACTTCATATAATTCTTTAAAAGATGTCAACCTAACCTTAGATTAGGAAAACAACTAGCCAATTCAAAGTAAACATGTTGTTGGTTAATATAAAGGGTGACCCATAAGTCTGAACTCATAGGGAAAATAGACATTATGTTCTTATAGTTAAACAAACACAATTCTAATATTAGTTGTATTGTACATATTTGAGGAAAGAAAATACCATGATGGCACAGTATACCAAGAATTGATATGTGTATGGCTGTTAATGGCATACAATTTGAATAATAAATAAATTAAGAATACAATGTGCATTTTTCCCTACGGATCCAGACTTCTGGGACACCCTGTACTTATTGTTGGAATGAAAAACATTGAGTTAATACATATAAAACTTAAAACAAACTATATGACAGGTGCTTAATGTACTGTCATAAACTTAGTCAACTGCTAAGCTTCTTTCTAAAGCAACATGGGTAACAACTAATGGTTCATAACCTTTTCAGCCCAGTGGCATTCGTAAAAATTAATATTGTTTGTTTGTTTGTAATTAAGCACAAAGCTACACAATGGGCTACCTGTGCTCTGCCCACCACGGGTATCGAAACCCGGATTCTAGTGTTGTAAGTCTGCAGACATACCGCTGTGCAACTGGGGGGCTAAAAATTAACAACTCAGAAATAACACTACACCAGAGACATACTTTAAACATAAAACATGATAACCACCAAATGTTTATAAACCTCATGATATTTTTCTGTTAAATTTACAATTTATAATGGCATAAAAATCACTAAAGAACATAACTGTATACTATGCCATTATGCAACATACACATAAACAATGATCTGAGCTGAGCTTCACACATACTAATTAACAAAATACAACAGCAGGCCTAATGTTACATTGAAAATGCTTTGCATTTTGTTAAAATTAATATAAAGAGATAGAACTCATACAAAATTCAATTTATAAAAGTTACCTCTGTAGCCCTTTTAGAAGTTATGTAGGGTTGCTTCAGAAGACTTTGAGCTCATGTCAAGACAAAATCCAACATACCATTATTTTCCAATTATAAGCAAATAGGAACTACCAAAGTAACTACTTCAACAAAACAAACAAGCAGAAGAACCAATAAAATTAATTTATTATCTTTATGATATAATTAGATTATATGAAAGTGTGCCATCATGAAAAGGCTTCTAAGGTAATAACTAAAAGCAGAAATAAACAATCCATATAATAAGGAAAGGATCTCAAAATGAAATAGAAAAAATAATCCCAACTTTCAGATGATGTATTTATGATTTTGTTAGCTTTAAAAGTTTGAAAATAGTAAAACAAAAAATGCAGCAAGTTGAATGTTACAGTTTTGATCCCACCAACCTGTGAAATTCCCTGTTTCCAAGCTAATTAATATCTGAACTAGATATAAGTGACAAACATGTACAAACACCAAGCTTTGCAGCTTTATTTAATATGTTTACAAGTTTTCTTAGTTAGTTAGGAGGTTTACATATTTTTACTTCTCAAATTCAAATTGCAATTGAGGAGAACCAAAAATCTAAATTAGGATTAGCATATTTAATTTTTTTTCATTGGTTTATCCAGGGAAAAAAAAAAGTTAATAAAATAAACAAATAAATCTAAGTCTTAAAATTTCAGTTATAATTTTATTTTGTAGGTGATTTGAGGGAAAAGATCAGACAGAATTTTATGAATTAAATGTGTCACTTGCCGTCGTAGAAACACCAGATACTGGGCTGAAAAGAGTTAATGCCTTGCTGGAGCACCTGCATGTCTTAATGGAAAGTTTCAAAACAATCCTCTAAGTTGATTTCTACTTGTATGTATTTCACTCGGTTTGTGACTGACATTCAATAAAGTGAAGTTATTGTAAAGTATATATTGTTAAGGAAGTGGGGCTATCTTAAAAGAGATAGAATTTAATTTTAGTTTGATAGATGCAGCTGTGAATCACCTAGAAAACTGTTATATTACTAGTGGCATGCAGGCCACATCTAGCACTCCAGGTAATTTTATATAGAGTTAAATATTTACCTAAAGCAAGGAGAAAAATGGTACTCAGATGTTTTTATAATTTATTATGGAATTTAACAACACATTTTTCTCCAGGACTGTATAGGAGTGGCCATTATTCCACTTTGACATATTGCAGATAAATCAGGGAACTTATGATGTAGCACTCTCCAATTCATTATCAACTGAAGAATTTTAACTAACACCACATTAAATGTAAAATTCATGATTCTTGAATTTTTTCAATAAACAGTCTTTTGAATAGCATATTATAAGTACTGAAACTCTTCTCACCTGTATCTGGATTATTTTTTTTAAGGCAACTGACTGGTTAGCCATGCTTACAGATGTTGTAAGCTGACTTGATGAAGAATCTGCTTGAGACAATTGTGGCTGCAGATTCTGTTTTTGTAGCTTCAAAACCAAGGCTTGTTGATTTTGTTGTTGCTGTATTCATTAAAAAAGATTAATTAACTATTAGTTCAATATTTTCAAGATATATTAGCATAGTGCTACTACATTTTTATTTTATTTTCCAGAATAATTATCTTATTAATATCTAATGTCTAGATTTATACATGCAGTGAAATTATCATAAAACACTTTATTACAGGTTGGCAGTACAAGTCTGAATGATAAACACCATGATACAAACTGTAATGGCTACTTTTCTCAGTATACTCTATTTCTCTATACTAAGAGTAAAAAACAAAAGTTAGATTTTGGGCACAATGAAAGGTAAAGTATTTATTAATTGTTTCAACCAATTGTGTTGGTAACATAGTTACCATCACGAAGGCTTGTGAAAACTGAAACCAATTGGTTGAAATAACTAATAGAGAGTTTGTCTTACACTTTGCCAAAAAACGCTACTTTTGTTTGTAATTCTTAATATACAGAAGCACAATATACCTGAAAATAAATTATAATACCCTACTTCTAACAAAAGTCTGCATATTTTGAGAACAGTCAATAGTTTCAAAATGGACTACTGATCTCACTGCAGTGAACAGACTGAAGTGAAACAGTCCCAACAAACATGATCTGTTACACTAAGATATACATAAAAGCAGAATACTTTTATAAATGCTTGTTGTTGTTCAGGAGTTATTCCTCTCTGTGACTGCTGGTACGTGTGGACGGGTTGACACTGCTGGGGAGCCAAGGTTATTATCTGGTTCCCAATCTATAAAAAAAAATGTCATTCATCAATACATTCTTATTTTTGAGTAATCATTAGAATATGTATACACTATACAGCTTCTTCTATGTGAATTGTAGGACACACATTAAAAAAAAATTTAAATGAGCAATGTTTTTTGAATTTTTACTTTTGAAATTACTAGAAAAAATAGCACTTTTCTTATAATTTAAGATGAGATAACATGAAATTAAAGGTCTGTGAATAATCACAGGAAAAATAAAACTTTTATTATAATTTAAGAGTAAGAAAGATATGAAAGTAAAGGTATGTAAGTAACTACAGGAAAAAATAATACTTTTATTATACTTTAAGGGCAAGAAAACATGAAAGTAAAGGTATGTGAGTAACTACAGGAAAAATAATACTTTTATTATACTTTAAGGGCAAGAAAACATGAAAGTAAAGGTATGTGAATAATCACAGGAAAAATCTTAACATTTTCCTAAACTGAAAATGTATTTCTGAATAGATACTTAACTCCTCTCAAAAAAAACTTTCTCAATTAGTACTGCCATCTATCAGTGCAAATTTTTTGCTTGCCACTAGCCTTGTAACTCTCACTTCTTTCTATATATCTACACGCAAATGATCATGCAGCAACCCTCCACCAAATAGGAGTGTGACACTATCTCTGTTGTAATTAGCACCCTCTCTAATAATGCACCTGTTAATCACTTTGAGACTGGCCATGACTCTCAACTGAGTAGTATTGTGCTTCACTCAGGAGGACTGGCCTCCATGGTCCACCACCCCAGCAGCTAGGAACTGGTAAGTGGCTAGGGCTCCCATATACTCCACTAAAAGAAGTGGTAGGATAATGTGTTGGAGAGTCGGGGGGGGGGGACTGCCACACTGTAGACAGTGCAATGGGTGACCTCGACACCCTATTATGAAAAGCAGAGCTACCACTTTGATGGACTCAATCAACCAACACCTGTCATCATCTTTAATTGTACATCAGGTCTGCAGTAGGAAGAACTTCAACACCACGGAGTATCAGAGATGGGCAGTAAACCCTGTCTGCTTTACCTGTGTAAGTCCATGAGTGTATGATCTGGGACTAACATATTTATGAAGCAAAAAAACCATATAATATATCTATGATTGCTCCTACGGAACCCCTCATCTCAACGGTGTGCGTAACATGGTCCTGTGACGTGTTATATTGTCTCAAGTATAATATTTAATATTGATGCACAGATGATCATCAAACCAAGTCAATCAATCAACACCTGACAGCACCTGAAATTGTACCTCAGGTCCACGGTAGGAAGCGTCCCAACATTATAGTCATATAGCATGTTCACAGGATGTACGGTGCAGATTTAATACTAAGATTACCTGGACAGGCACCACTTGCCACAGAGCAGGATCCATAACAAAAGAGCAAGAAGCCCCTGCAAAGGAAAAGAAACTGAGAACTTACCAGTCACAAAGATACAGAAGTGTGTAAAATTGTAACTAGAGGTAAACGGAAACCCACAGAGCATGAAATGGTCACATGATGTAGGTAGTAAGACGTATGGAGGGCAGAGTTGGCCTGACAGAAAGCCAGTAGTAGCCAGTTGTCCATGTAATGGTGGAAATGAAGACCCTGGGAATGAAATAGTTGAGCAAATGACTGGACAACTCTACAAAACACATAGAAAGCCGAGGCTAGGCCAAACAGAAGCACTTGAAACTGAAAAACACACCCATGAAGAACAAAGTGAAGGAAATGTTGGTATGCTGGGAAGATGAAGATAAGAATCACACACACACTGACTGTCGTCCTCCACAGACTTGGAATGAAAACCCAACGGAGAGTTAAGTACAACCCCATGGTGAACTTGGGACAATGAAGAAGCAATTTAAAGATGATAAATCGATCACTAGGCACCAGTCTCCTGTCTTTTTGGGAATGACAAATAGATGAGAATAAAACCCTGGAGAAGAAGAATCTCCTTGTTTGATGGCACCCTTTCGAAGTAAATCCCAAACCATTTCCGACAAATGCTAGCATGAAACGGCCTTTTTACTCCCTACTTGTAAGTTTCCTAAGTTCTTGAACTTCATATTTTTTACTTTATTCCTGAACTATAGCTTTTATTTATAAGTTAAATTATATATATATATAAATATTTTTTACTTTGGTGTTACAGTTTCATTCAGTTTAAGAGATAATATCAAGAGACTAAACTTGAAAGTTACTCCTTTTTTACTAAAAAACTACTGTTAACATTTCATAGTATAAGCTAATGATTTAAGTGTACTTGAACAACTCCTGTATTAAGTTTTAAAAGACTTAAGTTTTTTGTCAGGTGAGAACTTTGATATTTTTACTTGGGGATGAAACTGAATGAAAATGTACTCCTAAGATATCACAAAAATCAGAGAAATGTATAAAAATGACAATAAACTTAACATAAACAGATTCATTTTGGCAAACTATAACTCAAATTCTGTATTTTTTTCTTCACTCACACACAAACATCTACCAGAGGCCAAAGAACATTATACTACACACACACACATAAATATGGCTGATTGTATTTCATAATGTTTGTGTTCTAGCAATGTCCTCAGTGGAATTGAACTAGAAGCATTATAGCAACAGGCACATACCAACCATTTGAATTAAAACTTAAAATCTGTTCAATCCTTATGTTGATACATGAATATACAAAGCTACTTTTGACCAAAAAGACAAAAAAAAACAACTTAGTATTTATAGTAAGGTTGTTTTGGTTGGACAGGAACTACTGTCATAATTTGCACTGTATACAATCTAAATACTCTAATTACTAATTAGTTACCTTTTATTTTATAACTAATACTAATTACTAGCCAGCTTACACCCAACATTTCAGCTAATAATTTGCTGCAATCTTCAGAGAATTCCCGAGAAGGACTCTCTTTGTGGTGATAGGGGCCAGGATTTGATCCACAGATTTCTTGATAAAAAGGCTGGTGTGGTATTCACTCATCTATGTTCTCCTCCATTAGGACTTGAATCAACAAATTATTTAAATGTTTTCAAGAGGGGCATCCAGGTTTTGCTAACTTCTATACTAAGTTGTTTGTGTATGTGTGTTAGCTTGTAGGTAGATGTAGAAGCTATTTTATCTTTCTTTTACTTCATGTGGTTTATTTTCATATTATTCCATTTCATTGGTCAGTGTTCTTCTCTGGACTATTGCAGATTGATCCATATTACAGAGTTTTGTGTGTTTATTATGCTGAATTCTAATTTTGTTGGTCTTCTTTGTTTCTTCAATGTATTGGAATTCACATTCACATGGAATGTTGTAAGTGGCATTTTTACTCTACAGTGGATCTATATGTGATTTAGCGTGTACTAACTGTGATCGTATTATATTTTGTGGCTTTTCATTACTGTTCTGACTTTATGACATTTAAATATCCTCCATCTTTTTTACCAAGAGAATCTAGGGAAATATCACTGTGTGCCTGAAATTTTAATTCTGGTTATACTTGGTTTTATGTTCTTTATCAAATGTTCAGGAGTATCCACTATCAATGAGGATTTTAGTGATGTGGCCACTACCACCAAAAACATAATTCTCAGGACTTATCTGAAGATAGTAGCAGGTTATAAGTTAAAAGTAGAATATAAGCTAGATAGTAATTAGTATCTAGTAATTAAAAAAATGCAAGGAATAAATTAAGTGCTTACACAGGCTATGAACCGTGACAAAGAAATACACAACTGAAAAGTGTGTAATTTTTGTATCATACAGTAACACTGTAACATTAAACTATTTCGTCACTAACCAGGAAATTCATAAATTGCCCAAAACCATTTCTGCCCTTTTACTGATCAGGCAATCAATCAGTAAGCAATTATTGGTATTCTCTTTGAACAAAAATTTCAAAATTGTTGCTCAATAAAAGGGAATTAATTAAAAACATAACCTAGCTAAAAAATATAAAAAAGGAATTGCACTTAAATTTACTGCAATAGAACTAATTGATTGTATTTGGTCAAGCACAAGATTAACTTTGTTTTTTAAGATCTTTTCATACCTGTGACTGTATGTAGAAATAAAAAAGCACTATAATTACCTGAATGAAATTCATCAAATCTACTCAAGCACAAAACAATGGAGAAGAGCTACTTGCCATACCTGATCATTGTTGTTCCCCCAACACAAACACACACCACACCTAATTTTAAATATATTTCTACTTCAATTGAAGGAGAATTCTTTTTTCAAGGTATTTCAATACCTTCGATATTATTTAAACATAATAAATAAAAATTGGGAAATAAACTCCTCCACAACTATCACAATGGTAATAAAATTTTGAAAACTTACTACAATGGTAGTAAAACTATCTATATTCACAAAAATGATGATGTTTTGTTTTCACTGTTTGAATTCATTTATTTAAATATTATCCCTATCATTAGTACTTTCACTTACTGTTTTCTTTTATTGGTTTAATCGCTACCTTCAATTATACTGTTTAATCTCTCTGACACACACAAATATAAAAGTTCCATTCAGTTATCCATTCTCAGAAATGGTTTTGGTAGGACTAAAGGTATATGTCAAGTAGTTATTTCACTTCTAATACTTCTGACTAAAACAATAAAAAATAGGATATTCATCTAAAAGACCCATAATTAAAAGAGATGTAGTCAAGGGAAAAAAATTACAAACTACAGAAAGGAGATTAGATTCTTAATAATGCAGGCTGTACTTACTCTGACCTGAGTTGGCACATTAACACTGGCAATATTTGATGGTTGTGCTTGAACTGTAGATGAGACATTTGGCAATGCAGGGGCTATGACTCTGAGTGAAGGCTAGAAGAATAAAACAATGTATATTAAAAATATATATTTATTTATTTTTACTGCAAAACATCTGGTTATATGCATGATTTAGGAAGATTGTTGTGACATTTAGATAACCAGGAAACAGAATGTAGTCTAGAGAATAAATGTTTGAACAAAAGTTAAAAAATATTCAATTTGATAGTTCTATCAAAGTGCAAGCATTGATGATTGATGAGTGGTAACATTCCAAGGTTTTTTCTGAAACACCTGAAAAAGAACTATTTTATGAGTTCTCAGGTGAACCTTATGGTCAAGTACTTTTTTGCTTCAAATTCTTTTGGACTAATCAAAAATTGAGGTCTTTTGTTGGCAGTAGGAGATAGTAGTTTAATAGCAAAATAAAACTGCTTTAAGTCAAATAAATAAAAATGTTTTTTTGAAAAAAAAAATCCTGTATGCATGATTAACCCATTAACTGCAGCAGGAGCAGCTCAGTTGTCGTTTTCTGACTCACAGATAAAACTGAGTTGCCATCAATCACAATAAAACGGTAATTTTTGTCATTCGCATAGAGTTATAGTTATATATGTGCGACTGACTGATATTTCCATCATCCGCAGCTCAACCATAAAACTTCAATGACAGAAATATCCGTCATCCGCAGTTAATGGGTTAATCACAAAAAATATGTGAGACAAAAAATTTGAGTTAGATATAAGCTTCCTGCTGATAAAATTATGAAGTCTTTTATCCAAAATTTAGTAAGATGTTTTAATAACTATGGTACATTAATGGTTTGCATTAGTAAACACAGCAGTATGACGACATAACTCATAAGAATTGTCATTCTTTCACAGATCAATTCTTGCAGTCTATGTATTTTTTTACTTGACAACAAATTTGTGAAAGTTGGCCAACATGTCTTCCAACAAATACCTATGTAATTTACTTCAGCTCACAAACTGCACAGTTACATTAATTCAAACTGCTACTAATACTAATAAAAAAATACAGGTGAAAAATCTGAACTCATGGATTCTATGAGCAAAAACATTCAAAACCTTTCTAGTTTACCTCTTTATGCACTTTTGTCCCTATAGGTACAATTGGACATGGAATCACTAAGGATTTAGTACCTTTTTTTCTACTGCAATACGTTATCAAAATAAATTTTATACTTTATTTACTAAAATCTGTTTCGTTTAGTTATATGCAAATATATTTCACATCTTGTTTCAATATATACTGCATTTTAGGCACGTTGATATCACTTTAAGAATCACAGAACTAGAAAAAAACTCCTATTTATATGACTAATTTATTAGTTGTTTTTTTTTAAGTATGAAGTTCAGAAATTTTATCTTTTATAGTAAACAGATGATACTTGAAACACATGCCTTAGATGTAGAGGATAACAAAGACAAATTTTGAATCATTTTAGCTAATGATAAACTGAAAACATTAAAAGTATACTACTTTACAGTGAAGTGCAGCCACAGTAGGGAAGTTATAAAGCAGAAAACCATGGCCAAAGCAAAAACAGTTAAAAAGCTGGAAATTATTGACATTTAAAAGCAGCTAAAATGCTGAAAATCACAACAATTTAAGAGCAGCTAAAAAGCAGAAAACCATAGCCACATAGGAACAGCTAAGAAGCTGGAAAACACAGCCACATAGGAACAGTTAGAAAACTGGAAAAAAACAGCCACTTAAGAGCAGCTAAAAGTTGGAGAAAAAGGACACAGTAGGACTGTTAAAAGTTATATAACTGGAAATCACAGTCATGTAGGATAAGCTAAAAATATAAAGAAACAAGACACATTAGGGCTACTGTATAGCTGGAAATTACATTCACATAGGATCAGCTCAAAAGATGAATAAGTGGGACAAAATAGGGCTGTTATAAGCTATAAAGCTGGAAATTATAATCGCATAGAATCAGCTACAAAGATGACACAGGAGAAAGTAAGACTGCTATAAAGTTGGAAATCATAGTATGGCAGCTATGGGGCTAGAAAGCATGGTCACAGTGAAGTTTTATTGTAATTCAAATGATTTTTATGCAGTGTATTACTTAACTAGCTTTTAGCAGTGTTGTAAGTCTTGATGTCTTACAGGTCTGGTAAATGACACTGACTAAAGTATATAATTTTCCTACACTGAAAATGTATTTCCAACAGGTATTTACATACATAGCTATTCTCATTCAGTGTTGCGCTCTATTTGCAAAATTTTTTTTTACATGCCACAAGCCTTTCACTCCCATACACCCCTTGATTCACATGCTTTAACTGATTCTCACATGCAAATTGAAACCTCTACCATTAATAGTACCACACACCCACATGATTCATGTGACTTCCTCTATGCTATTCTACCTAACTATCATTTGAGTTTAGGCAGATACCTAAGCACCAGTGGACAGTGGGGAGGAAGGGTAGGAAGTGCAAATGGAATTAAGTACCTGTCAGAAATACATTTTCAGTTTAGGAAAATAACTTCTGACAAGGTACCTTACTTCTGCTCACATACATAACTAGAATCCCACAATGAATAGATGAAGGGACCGATGCAAGGGAGAAAGTAGAAGCATCCTTTGAAAGTGTCCGAAGGACACCATAACCCAGTGCATGGGAGTGAAAGGCTTATGGCATATGAAAAATTTCTTTATAAAAACAGAGCATCACTGAACAAGAATAGCTATGTTTGTGAGTGGAAGTAAGGTACCTTGTTGGAACTTAAAAGTTTTACCGGTATTTATATACTGACATTATCAACAAAATAAAAGAATAAAGATGATTAAGAAGAGAGTATATGACAACCAGTAGCCTACAAACAAAACTGCAAATTAATACACTCAGAATCAAAATTAAGCTACAAAAATCACAAGGATTGGACACCTTCTGTACACAAATAAACTCAAAAACATATTTCTGGTCCTATATAAAAAAGGTACAAAGTCAAACAAAACAACTATCACCATCTACCTTACACTTAAACATATAAATTAATTAGCATACAATAACAAAAAGAAAGTACACACCTTTAAAGAACAACTCCAAAAAACATTCAAAACACCAGATGACAAACATGAACAGCCACTTCATGAACATAATATATAATTATATCACAACCACTTGTAATATATACACACACACCACACTTCACCGAGGACACTCAATGCAATAGCACAACAACATTGAAACAACACAAAAAAAACAGCTTATCAGACCCATCACAGTAGCAAAGTACAAGAACACATAAAATGTTTGAAAAACAAAGTACCAGGACAGGACAGAATTCAAAACTTATTACTCAAGAAAGGACCTCTGAGATTATTAGAACATCTCACATCTTTATACAGGACAATGTTCTTATATTCTAGAAGGAAGGAAAATCAGCGAATAACCCTGAAAACTACAAACCCATAAGTCTAACATGTAATCTAGAAGAACTACTTGAAAAAATTATAAATAATAGATAAATATATTACCTTGAAACTAAATCAATATTCCCAGAAATACAAAATGGCTTCCAAAAAGCAAGACAAACAAAAGATCATCTCCTAAGATTACTGGAAGAAATAATACGAAGCTTTAATAAAAAACAATGCACAGTTGCATGTTTCCTAGATGTTGGAATTCGACTCAGATACAAACTATCCAAATTGGGGTTCCTCATAGAAATTATTCTCTGGGTTTCTAACTTCCTGTAAGATAGGAGCATCAGAGTAAATGTTGAGGACACCTACTCCGAGTGCTGCACTCCAGAGTCAGATGTCCATCAAGGAGGAGTACTTAGTCCTATCCTGTTTATTATGTATGTCAGTGACATACCTCTCAAAGACCCAAACCACACTTTTTTTGCTCACAGTTTGCAGATGATGTTGTAATCTGGAAGAGTACCCCAAACCCAACAACAGCAACATACAATATATAACCACTACTAAACAAAATAGAATAAGTGGAGAATTAAAATTAATGTGCACAAAACACAAGTCATACACAACAAGCAAAATAATAACCACAGTTATATCTAGATGGGATTCTCTTACAGATAGCAACATCAGCAAAATTCTTAGGGATTACATTTGACTCAAAATTAAACTGGATACCATACATTAATAGCATAAAAAAAAGAATTTGGAAAAAGTGAGTTATCTTGGGAGTCTGACTGGCAAAAACCAAGGAGCTTCACCAGAAAACATATTAAAAATTTACAGAACATTACATAAGACCAGTCCTAGAATATGCCTGTATAACATGGATAAATGTAGCAAAAATACACATCAACAAACTACAGCAAATACAAAACTATATTTTAACAAAAGCATTTAGACTCCCACAATCAACAAACACTATTTCTACACAACTATTCAAACATGCCAACACTATCAGACAAACTAGAAAGTTACATAATACATTATGAAACAAGCCCTAAGTACCTCTCCCTTTTAAACTCATAAATAAGAAACTTACAGGCCAAACAGTACTAGGCTAACTGAATCCTAGACACAAACATACCTCTATTTAAAAGGGTTTTGCATGGAAAAATAGGATTATGTGTGTGTGTGTGTATATATGACTGCTGGGCAGAATTGTACTGTGAACACGGACTAATAGTGTGATCATACATAAGAGAAGCTAATGAAAATATATGAGTTAATACTACCCCATGAATTGGACATGGCACGAAAAGGGTATGTTAATTAAAACTGCAGACAATGGACAAAATTTAACATACTGTGAGTAATGCAACAACATAACAAGGGTTATTATCTAGGATTCAGTAACAGTGCAAACAAAATAACAATTCCCGAGAGGGAGAAAGAGGTCAACAATGAACATAAACCTCTCTGGTCTAAATCCTGATGAAGAAGTTTGTTAACTTACCCAGTATTATTAAGCACTAAATATTGATTATGCAGCAGTTCATATGAGGCACAGTGTAGCATCAAAGATGTTTTACCAGTAAACCCCCTTGGTAGTTGGTACTAAGCCTTTGCAATGACTGTCATAGTACCTCCCTTATTTTTGCTAACATCAGCAACTGCCATATCACCTGTACGTCAATCTGCAGTTATAATATGTACTATTCAAAAATAATTGCATTATGCATAGGCTTACTATAAGTTTGTATGAACTTCATTTGATGCATGTATTTACGTTAAAAATTAGCGACTATCTCTGTTATTCAACACATCTAGTAGATCTGCTGTGATCCTGTTCAGCTTTAAAGACCATAAAAAATTCACTGACGCCATAAACTTTTGAAAAGCAACAATAGTTTTTCTTTTGTTTTGTTTTATTTGCTGACCTTTTTGATTTTTTTTATTCACTAAACTAAGACTGTGGGATTAAGGTGTAAAAGATTTGTGGTTAAGATATTAATAAAGTCTGTTTGATGCATATGATTTTTTATTCTTCTTGCTTTATTTTTCATTGTGTAATTTATTACAATATCTCAGGCCTGGTCTTGACCCCTATGGTCTGAGTCTCGACTACAACACTGGCTTTTAAATAAGAAATAAACATAAGACTTTCAATAATAATACATTTTGGTTGGAAACAGGTGTTCTCACTCTACTGACATCATAGAGTTTTTTAAAAAAAGGAAGAAAAACAAATATGTTTTGAGATGTAACAAGTTGAAAGCTGGATATTTTTCATGTGTTTTGGTACATATTACACAGAACAACAAAAAATTTGCCACTGGAGAAAACTCAAATAATTTGAGGTAATTTGATGGTGCTGATTTCACAAATGTAGATAAAATTTCTCCATCACCTCTAGATTTTGAGTTATTGTAATATCTCAATATTTTATCAGCACTATGTGAAATACCATGCAATCAACTCAGTACAATAGATTTATGCTGTCAAATTAAGTTTACTTGGACAGTTTAATGGGTAAATGGGCATACATTTTTGATAACTTCAAACAATGATTGTATTGTACTGGTGTAAAATTCCAAATATATTTTTCATATGTGCTATTTGTTTTCAATATAACTGTAGCGAACTGCACCATTTTTGCTTCATTCCACACTCACCTGCTCTTCCTGAGAATCAAGAAACCCTCATGTGCTCAGTATGCTACAACATTAGAAAAGTCCCTCGACTAAACATAAAAGGGGCAGAGTCAGACATCTCTCTCTCTCAGTTGCCTCTCACTCACTCAATTAACTTTGCCTCCCACGATATAATCAAACTCTGCAAAACTTTGTTTTTTAAAATATATTAAACTCTAGGTCTGTAAACATAAGTTCTTTAATAATCTTTAGAAAATCATTTGAAATTCTAGGAAACAGAAGAGTTATCCTGTGAAGAAGACAATGAATCATCTTCATCTAGTCATTCAATTCATGTGGCACCTCAACATAAACTACCTCATCAAGTAGAGTTAAATAATCTGATTCGTGACTTGTCTCTATCAAACAAGCATGGGAAACTTTTTAGCTCTCATTTACAATAATGGAATTTATTAGCTCCAGGAACAAGAGTTTCAATTTACTGAAGTTGCTATCAAAGACTTGCTTCTCTCTACAACATGCAAGATACTTTGTGTTTCTATACAAATGTTGATGCACTAATGGAAGAATTAGGTACTGAACATCTTCCTCAAGAATGGAGACTTTTTTATTGACTCATCTAAAGTTAGTCTGAAAGCTGTACTTTTGCACAATGGGAACACTAAGTCATTGGTTCCTGTTGTTTATGTTGTAAACATGAAAGAAACTTATCAAAGCATGCAGATTATACATTCTTAAATGCAATTTTCAATGAACAACTAAAGTTATTAAAGAAAAAGTTATTTTCACAATATATATGAATATTTTAAATAAATCTATCATAACTTGAAAATCAGAGATGATAAATAATTTTCAACATAATTTTTAGAACCAGAATCATCAAATTACTGAGAAATAGTTACATTTTTTCTAGTAGCAGAGAAATTTTGTTTTTCTTGCCAAGTGTTATTTCTTAATAATATCCAAGTGTGATGGATATTATTCTAAAAATCTAAGATATTCAAATATATAAACTACTTTCTGTCCTAGATTTCAGTAGTCTGCTACAATGACATCAGTTATTAAGAATAAAACTACTACTTTGTACTGTAGGACTGAGGTTGACAAGGTTACAAGCACAAAAAATAAAGCAGTAGCATTCTATACAAAATTTATACCCAACAATGATTACATTCAAACAAAATTTCACTGTCCTCTACAAACGTTCAATTTAAACCTGGGATACTCTGCATCATTTGAGTTAAACCTGAATATGTTTTAGTAATGAAAGTTATAACTTCACCTGCACTTGGGGTACATTCTGATGTGATTGTACCATCTGAGCTTGAACTATGATTTTTTGCTGAAGATTTAATAACTGCTGTAACAGTTGCCGTTGATGTGGAGAGGGTGACTTGTTAGACAACAACTCTCCAATCTGCTCTTGCAGCCTTTTAAATACCTAAAGATTAAAAGAACCAAATGGTTAAGTCCTACCTCTAAAAAATTACACATGTAAATATTTTCTAAGTTGCTATAAGTATACATATCAAATGATAAAATATTTTCTTAAAATAAAATTACCCAAATAAACCACGACAATAGTGAGTTGACAAAAGTAATTTAACAATTTATACAGAGAAAGAATATGAGTAAAAGTACAAGCTCTGCTTGTGCTTCAAATATAAAATATCATTACAGAAAACACTTGTGCCAAAACTGAGACCAATCAATTTCTAAAGTTTTTTAGTATAAACAAAAATATAAAATGCAATGACTGGTCAACTACTATATGAATTAAAATGAACATTTAGTGAATAATGTGATGGAATGTGTTACAGTCTGCTGCTATAAATTTGTATAGATATACATAAGTTATGGTATTCAGAGATATCTCCTTTCAACAAGAAATTATTGTCAGTTTGTATGTTTATATACAAGTATGAAAATGGGAAAGATTTAAGCCATAAACCACTTTTACTAATAGTTTTTAAAAAGAAAATTATAACTCATGAAGTACTATAAATATCTTTAAAGCTCTGAAGATGGAGATTATGTCATTTATTATGAAAATAAATGAATAAAAGTTTAAATCTAAAAGGAATGATCAAGAGCAACTGCAATAAGAAAAATTGACAGATTATTTTATTGTATAAGAAATATTTTCAAAATATTAGATTTTTTTACTTCATTATTTCAGAGCTTCTTGGGAAATTATTATGTTAGCATAAACTGTGATGATTAATTTTCAAGACAAATTTACATTCAATCACACCTGTTGGCTTCTTAGATTCAGAGGAATTGTCTGTCCTCGATGAGAAGGACCTCCTGTGTTCCTATTGTTTGAGTCTGGCAAGCTTTGGAGTTGGCTGGAAGTGGACAAGGTTTTCTGCACAGGGTTATTATAGACAACAGAGACATCTGAGCTTGTATCAGTTACTGAAGGTGTCACTACCACACTCCCTGAAACTCCTGGAGGAACCGGTATAGACTGTTTCACATTTGCTACTAATGTGGGCCCTGTGTTACCAGGAAGTTGAACTGGCTGAACACCAACAAGTAAATGATTGATATTGTTATCACTTAATATGGAAGCAGCAGTGAGTACTGTGTTAGTTGTAGCACAACTAGTGGTAAAAGGAACTGCTGATACAGCAGATAGTTTAGAGTCTGTACTAGAGGTAATAATAGGCAAAGTCACATAACCTGACTGGATCTGACCACTAGCAGAAACTACGTTGTTATTGATGTTCTGAACTGTCAGAGGAAGCAGCGTAGCACCAGAAGACAGACAACTGTTCCTAGCTGTTGATGACAATGTGGAACTTTCAGAAGAAGCAAGTGCCACTGATGTAACCACATCTGGCACTTGAACAGCAGGGCCTGCATTAAGTCTTTCAAGCAAAGCAGAATGACCACTCTGGAGTCTTCCAGAATTTGGAATAGCAAGATTGCCAGATGCAGAGGTATTGCTACATTGTGAACTCATTACCACACTTGTTTCTACAGCTCCACCTGCCATTTGGTTTGCTTGTTGCATGATAAGGGAGCCATCTGGAGCCATGGAAAACTGAGCTTGGGTTGGAATAGAGTAATAAGCCTAAAAAAAGTCATAATTACGAACTTTAGAGTCAAAAACACTTTAAAGTTTTCCAATACCCCAATTCACTAAAACCATATAAATTTGGTGTATATGCCTGGTTTTAAAATAGTAAAAAGCTTTCATATTGTTAATCAAAACATTAAATTATATCATCTTGAATAAAGGATTATTAAAACAAATGTTGAAAAATGCACTTAAATATATTTCAAAGTTCACTTAGTATAGGAATCAAAATTGATATGAGAGTAAGGCTTAAACTATAAAGAAGGATTTACTTTTTTAAAGTTTATTTGTGAAAGAAGATGTTTGAGCAGAAAATACTATCTTTATTTTTTTTACAAGTTATAAATTTGTAATTCCAAAAACACTGCAGATATGACTGAATTTTCTAGTGAATATTAAACTCCTTTCAGAAAAGATTAAGTGCACCTTATATGAGTGATTTGTATATGTCAATGCAGTAATATGTTTTGCCAAGGATAAAATCTGTGGCCATACGATCATCATGTTCAGCACAACTTTTTATTTGGTTCACAAAGAATTCTTGACCACTCAATTATATTACAACATCAAGGTAAACTTATGGCTGAAGGGCTACACGTAAGAGCTCTTTCTGAGAAAGAATACTCAGTGAAACTCTTAAATGATGAAGGGCTAAATGACATAACACTTAGGAAAAAAAGGAGTCCTCAATGTTCTTCACTGAAGAGGAAAACTTGCACAGCTACAAGCTCCAAAGCTACAATCCAGAGCAACACCCTCGTCTGTAAAGTGAGGGTTATGTTTAAAAAAGAAAAAGGAGAGATAACTCTTGTAAAACAAAAACCCATAGCAATGAGATTGGGCACATCTTATGGTTCTGTTAACAATTTAATAAGGATTTAAATTTGATAAAGGCTCACAAGTTCAAAATTTCACAAACTTCAGTCACAAGTAAAAACAAATAGCAAATTTAATGAGAAAGGTAGCATAGAGAGGCATGGAATCATAACTGCACCATATATACTTTAAGTCTGCCAATGCAGCTCCAGTAGACCTAGCCACCTGATACATGAACTTGGAAACCAACATTCACATTCAGCAGATGTTCTGTGGAAAGATTTCAAAATGAATGATCTAAGCTTGGCCTCACAAAATCTCATTACAACAGTTATGGTCAGTCAGCAGTACGTAAACAGGGCTAATAGAATAAATACAACCAATCACAGAGGAAGTAGTTCCAAATGCAGAATAGGGTATAAAATATTGTTCTTATAACAATCAGTTAATTTACTGATCTAAAGAGATGTTTAATGCATTAATTCAGTTTCTATATTTTCTAAAGTGATAAACACTAGTCAAGATTCTAAATAATCTAATATTCCTTAATTCAATCTTGAAAAGGAAACTTGAGTTGTTTTTTTCAAAGTGGGTTCAAATATTAAAATTAAGTAAACCATTCTACTGATACAAATTTGTATTTATAGGAAAACTAATAAGGCTATCTGCTGCTGTCCATAATTTTGAACTACTGACCACAAGAAAATAAGCCAATCAGCAGCACCACACCAGCCAGAATCCATGCAAAGTGATTGAATGTCACTCTTATAACACAACATGCAGGAAATATTTTGTGGTGCCACACGGTCTAAAAGTCTGAAATCCATAGCTCTATCACAGGGTCAACATGTTACTACAGTTTTGATTTATAATAAAAAAACACGAGTTATTGTTTATGAAAGACAATTTAATCCTTTCAGGCACCAGGTTAATCTTTGGAGAATTTTATTTGAAATAGAAGAAACAGCTTTTTCATAGCTTGATGGATCATCAGAGAATTTGATTATATTGTTTCCAAATAATTTTGCATATAGAAACCGAACCAGTGATAGAGAAAGTGTTAAAAGAATCACAACAGATAATAACACAATTGACTAAGGTTAACGATGAATAATCACTAGAAGACAAAAACACTAATTTCTTAATAAAAATTTTAATGTTTATCCTTAAGTCAGTTAAGTATCAAAAAACTGAAATCTTCATTATGATGATAAAATGAGAAGAAACCTATACCCTTCACTAGCTACCTGTCATAACTGTCACTAGCTGCTTCTTCATAACAATGTCACAACTATTAATTGCTTATGTGGATTATTGATCCACAAATAATTTTTAAACGTTTTTAGACCTATAATCTTTGAAGATATCTATATATCACATCAGAAAGAGTGATAAATTATATATCAGCATTAGCTCTACAGGATTTTAAATTGAAGCTCACAGCAAAACACTTTGAACTTCTAAACATTTTTATAAAATGAACATTATCTCTCAAGCGTACTTGAGACTGATCATTTGACAAACATGATCACATTTGTACACCCAGTCAGCTCAGTATGAACTGCCATTAACAAAAATGGTATATCTTAATGAGCTGAATGTTTCATTAAGTTTCCAGACCTTTATGTTTTCATAAATGAGAATTACAGATATTTCAGAGAAAGTAATAAGGGCCACCTACAAACCTTGTCATATTGCATCCATGCACGTACACAGAGGACATTTGACTGAACCCCATATTTTGTAATGTAAAAAAAAATATCCTTATATAGTTAGTGCAGCTGCTTATGGTTGACTGCTCAAAAGTGTGCTTCAGTGTACCAAATATCTTTATGTTACTGAAACTCTTTGTCACTCTGTCACTAAGTTCATGTTCAGGTGAACATTCAGCATCTGCTCCCCACTCATTGAATTAACTGAGATGTCCACAAACTGAAGAAAGACTGAATGTTCTTGCTTTAATACATAATCATTATAACACTGCTATCAACACTGAAACTGTATGTAAGTTACTCATGGAAAAGCACCCCAGAAGAATGGAGCATGCTAACATGTTATTTCAGTAGTACATACATGAAATAGCTAATATACTGTTGTTGTACACAGTTGTTTAAATTAGTAATATAACTTAATTAATAACTA